GTGTTTTAGGAATTATATGATCAAGATGGTGGATTAGTGCTGCTGGGAAACAACAAAGCTTGCAAGATTGCATGAGTTAGATCTGTCAAATTCAAGCTCCATGATGAGTCAATAAGGCTATTGACTGATGTCAGGCATGTACCTAATTCTATGAGAAATTTGACTTCTCTTGGTAAATTTGACAAGAAATGATATGTTTTAAGAGGAGAACAAAGTATCCTAAGGGTAATGAAGGGGTTGAAGGAAGGTGTGAGAGGCGTTAAGAAACAAGGCTTGTATACCCTTGAGGATGAGGTTGTAAGCTGTTCAGCAAATATAGTATCCACAAAACTTGTGTCGAAGACTGAGTTGTAGTACAAGAGACTTGGCCATATCAGTGAAAGAGGTCTGGTTAAATTGTCAAAACAAAATTTGATATGTGCTGACAAGGTCGAAAACTTGAGTATTGTGAACATTGTGTTTTTGGTAAATCCAGTAGGGTGAAGTTTAACAAAGGTAAACAAAGAACACATGGATCCCTTGATTACATTCATGTTGATCTTTGTGGGCTTGAAAGGAATCCTTCACACCCAGTGTAAAGTATTTCCTATCCATAGTTGATGATTTCCAAAAATTTATGGGTATTCATTCAAAAGATTAAGGATGAAACTTTTTAAAATTTCAAAAGTTGGAAGACTTTGGTCGAAACCAAACTGGCAGGAAGGTCAAGAGGTTGATGACCGACAATAGTCTTGAATTTTTCAATGAGGCTTTCGACAACTATTTTGTTACGTCTAGTATTGCAAGATATATAACTACTACAAAGACTCCCCAACAAAATGGTTTGGCTGAAAGGTTTATTCGAACCATTCTAGAAAGAGTAAAGTGCATGTTGGTTAGTGCAGGATTAAATAAGGTGTTTTGGTAGAAGCTAATGTGAATATAGATTACCTGATAAATAGGTGTCCTTTGACTTCTTTGGGGATGAAAACACCTAAAGAAGTCTGGTTGAGACATCCACCTAATCTCGACAGACTTAAAGTATATGGTTGTGTAGCTTATGCTCGCATTATATCAGACAAAGTTGAACCTAGATATCTGAGGTGTATTTTCCTTTGATACCCAGAAGGAATCAAAGCTTATAGGATGTGATGCCTAAAGCCAGGTCACAAGAGGTGTACCATAAGTCAAGATGTAGTTTTCAATGAAGTAGAAATGTGGTTCAAGAAAATTGATGAAGTTGGTCAAAGTACGAAGATCTCTGGAGAAGAGCTGGAACAGGGAGGGATTCCTAATAAGTTGGAGCATAGTGATTTTGAATTGCATAAACTAGATGAAGTTGAAGAATATGCACAAGTTGATGATGAAGACGAAGAGACTAAAAATGACTACCTGCTAGCAAGAGACAAGTCGAGAATCATCATCAAGCTACCTTAGAGACTTGGTTATGCAGATCTCGTAGCTTTTACCTTAACTTCTACAAGTAAGGTCCTCGATGAAGAACCTAGAGATTATAAGGAAGTTGTGAGGAGTTCAAATAAGAATGAATGGATGAAAGTCATGGATGATGAGGTGCAATATTTTCATGATAATAACACTTAGGAGTTGAACGAGAAACCTGTTGGACCTAGGTTAGTAAACTATAAGTGGATTTTCAAGGTTAAGGAAGGAATCAAAGGAGTGATGTCGAAGCGATATAAGGCATGGTTGGTTGCTAGGGGGTTTACTTAGAAAGAAGGTTTCAACTTCATTGATGTGTTCTAATATATTGTAAAGCATAGATCAATCAAATGTTGCATGCTATGGTGGAAAAGTTCGATCTAGAACTTGAACAGATGGATGTGAAGACAACCTTCCTGCATGGTGATCTAGATGAAACAATCTTGATGAGGAAATCTGAAGGGTATGCAGAAAAATAAAAGGAATATTTTGTGTGCAAGCTGAATAAGTAACTATATGTCCTAAAACAATCTTCTCAACAATGGAATAGGAGATTCGACAAGTTTATGACACACATAGGATTCACTAGAAGTCAGTTTGACCATTGTGTTTACTTTAGATTTCGACCAGGAAATTCACTTGTTATTTTGTTGCTTTATGTGGATGACATCCTGATAGCTAGGAATAATGTCGAGGATGTTATGAAGGTGAAAGTTGAACTCGATAAGAAGTTCGACATGAAGGAACTAGGAGCTGCCTCTAGGATTTTTGGGATTGACATCCGGAGAGATAGGAAACAGTCGAGATTATGCTTATCTGAAGAGACATACCTACTGAAGATTCTCAAAAAATTTGACATGTTGAATTCAAAGTCTGTTGTAACACTGACTAATCCTCAGTTCAAGCTGAGTACGACTCAAAGTCCTAGTACTGAAGTTGAAAGAACCTATATGAATAACATTCCATATGCTAGTATAATAGGTTCTTTGATGTATGATATGGTTTGTATGAGGCCATCCATATCATATGCAGTGAGCCTTGTAATCAAGTACATGACCAATCCTGGAAAGACGCACTGACAAGCATTGAAGTAGACTCTAAGGTATATAAATAGGGATGGAAAAAAATATGTACCCGCGGATATTTGTGGATAATATCTGTCACGAATATGAGATGGGTAGTTTAATGGATATCCACGGATAAAATAAATGAATATTTAAATACCCGTTTGTTAATGGATATGGATATGAGTTTAATGATATCTGAGTCCGCGGATATCCATATCCATTAACAAATTATAAAAATCATTTAAATGTCATTAGCTTATTATACCTTATATTTTCATCTTCTAAAAAAATTAGTCTTATTATATTTCTTTCTTATTCTTTTTTTAAAATTTTCGTTGGAGAAAATCTTTCATATTTCATTAAAATTTTATTAGACATTTCATATTTAAATTCTTCAATACTTCATACCTCACTTTAACAATTTCACAGTCCAACCAACTAGTGTCGTCATTCCTCTGTCGAACCAGTGTCTCTCTTCCTACTCCTCTGTCGTCCGTTCTTCCGTCATAACTCACAATCACAATATCTTTTATTTATTTGGTTAAAAATGAAATGCATGGATATTATATTTGGATCTAATTATGTATTAGTGAATAAGAAGAAAATTAATGTGATGAAATTTTATTGTTAAAATAAGAGCGAATTGTATGGATGTTATGTGATAATAACTTTTTGTGTTTTTAAAAGAAGTTCAAAATTTATAAAAAAAAATTTATAAAAAATATTATCCATGGATATTTATAAATATCCGCGGATATTGTAAAACATGCTGATTACCCACTTAATGGATACCCACATGGATATGGGGTATATATATATATATATATATATATATATATATATATATATATATATATATATATATATATATATATATATATATATATATATATATATATATATATATATATATATATATATATATATATATATATATATATATATATATATATATATATATATATATATATATATATATATATATATATATATATATATATATATATATATATATCATATTTATCGAACGAGGCAGATACGAATATCATAGTATCTGTCCCCATGGATATCCATTTAAATCTCGATACATAAATGTGTCTCTGTGCAGAGTTCTGATTTATGGTGGAGTCTATGGTGATGATAGTAAAATCGAAATTGAACGATTTGTTGACTCAAATTATGCAGGTTGTATAGATTCTAAAAAAATCTATTTCTAAATATGTGTTCACTACGTTTGGCACAACAATCAGTTGGAAAACAAAACTTCAGAAAGTTGTTTCCTTATTAGCCACTGAAGTGGATTATATTTCTCTCACTTAAGCCGTGAAATAAGCATTGTGAATTGAAGGTTTTGCTAAAGAGTTGAAACTTCAAGATCAAGTTATCACTGTTAAATGTGATAGTCAAAATGCAATACACCTTTTGAAGAGTTCGGCCTATCATGAGTGTACCAAACACATCGATGTGAGCCTGCATTTTGTCCGAGAGATAATCGAGCATGGAGAAGTCCAAGTGCTAAAGGTTTCAACTGATGACAATGTTGTCGATATGATCAACAAGACATTGTCGAGTAGCAACGCCTTTCACTGTATGCAGTTGATAAAGCTGCATGATGAAAACTAGTTTGTTTCTTTGTTAATGTAGAGTTTATTCTAAGGTGAAGATTTGTGGTATTTAGATCGAATTATTTCCTCGACAAGGTTTGTTTCACGGTTCTACAGTAATCGAAGATGTGCATGTTATAGTCGAAGTTTATTCTTGCATGCAGAATTACGTTAACTTGTTATTTAAGTTAGCATGTTGAATTGAGATAGTCTGTTGCGCCAATTATTTAGTATGTTAGTTGAAAGTTAGAGTTCAGTTGTCTTATAAATAGTATATTAGTCACCACTTCTCTCCCAGTCCTCGATAATCCTGATCAGAGGGAGAAAGTGGTGTGATTGAGATTCAATTGTAAACATTATTCTTTAATGTATAATTAAATCAAGAATTCAGTTTTTAACTACATTAAAATTGTCTTTCTCTTCTCTTTTCTCTTTTCCTTTACTTTGTGATTTTTTTATTAATCAAAAAACCAATCATCTTCTGTTTACTTGAGCATCGTTTTACAACAATGTGTGAAATTGTTTTAAACTTATTTTAGGTTTTTCAAATAAATAACTATCTCAAACTAAGTCTAATCTTAATGAACACTACAAAAATTTACTCATTAGTTTATATTAGTTATACCAATTCATCTAAATATTAAATACTTGCATTTATATAAATTTCCTAGAAATAGCATTACTATCATTACACAATACCGTTAATCTTTTCATCCTCTCTTTCTCTCTCAACATGTTTCTCCAAATTTGAAGTTTCGAATACCGTTTTGGTATCTGTCACTCTGTCTTCCTGCTCTGCATCCTTCTGCATTTACAAAACCATATTTTTCAGTGCAGTACATCACTGATTCATAATAACTCCTTCATTATTATTCATTTTTCTTTTTACATTTTTTTCTCAAACTACAAAATGGAAACTCAAAATCTCACAATAGATGATACCTTATTATTATCTGATATTTTCAATGAAACAGAGTTTGCAGGAGAAGATCTCTTTTCCATTTTAGGAAACCTAGAAAACTTCAATGATTTTCCTTTCATTACCAATGAGCAAAACTCAAAAATTTCCTTAACTACTCCACAAGTTTCTGAAACTGAACCATCACAGAAATGCAAGAGACAGAAGCTTGCTCCAAGTTCAGTTGTCGAGGAACCAAACAGCGACGGACAACATCGAGTGTCGCATATCACCGTCGAGCGAAATCGGAGAAAGCAAATGAATGAGCAGTTGTCGATCTTGAAGTCACTCATGCCTTGCTTTTATGTCAAACGTGTAAGTTCATTTTAACTTTCGCATCATTTTACACTTTTGGTTTCTTAACATCAGAGATGATAAATCTTTTACAGAAAGTCCAAAGACTTGTGTATAACAATGTTTTACTCTTCAGGGAGACCAAGCATCAATAGTTGAAGGCGTAATCGATTACATCAACGAGTTACATCAACTACTACAATGCCTAGAGTCCAAGAAACAAAGAAAAGTTTACAATGAAGTACTAAGTCCAAGACTATTAGTTTCAAGTCCAAGACCTTCACCACTAATAAGCCCTAGAATAACCTTACCAATTAGTCCAACAACTCCGCATTCACAACAATGGTTGCAATTGCAACATTATGGTGGTCATCTTTCGTCTGAACCTTCTCCTACTTCTTCGGCTTCTTCCATCAACGACAACATCAACGAGCTAGTCGCGAATTCAACCTCCTCGGTTGCTGATGTTGAGGTTAAGTTTTGTGGCTCACATTTAATTTTGAAAACTGTCTCCTCGCGAATTCCCGGGCAGGTTTTCAGAATAATGTCTGCTCTCGAAGATCTTGCTCTTGAGATTGTTCATGTTAGTGTTAGTACTGCCGATGAAACCATGTTAAACTCGTTCACTATTAAGGTAACTTAATCTTAATATTAATCTTAAAATAGTGTTAATGTTGCTAATATTGTTTGCATGTTCAATTTTGGTCAATTAATAATAATTATGTTTTCTTAAAATTTTCTTTTGCTTATAGATTGGAATTGAATGCCAACTCAGTGCTGAAGAACTTGCTCAACATATTCAACAAACATTTTGTTAAGGAAAGGTTATTAACCTCTAGAGACAAGACCAAGAATTAGGAATATCCATTTTCTTTTTATTTTTCACTGTTTTTGTACCTTTCTGCAAGACAGTGGAGCAATAGCATTTTGAATTTATTGTGTTTTTTTTCTATTAATTGACTACAGTCAGTACTCAGTACTCAGTACTGCTAGTGTAATTGATCATGATGTGCTTTAGTTTGGCATTTTGTTGTGTGATTTTGTTGTAACTGACCATTTTCGAAACTCGTGACTTGTGTATGCTTGTTTTATCCTAACATTCTTCATTTTTTATTCTCTTGTCATGTCAAGTTTTGGTTTTCTCTTCAATTGCAAAAGTCTAGCAGATTATTTTGCATGCTTATCTATAAATCAGAAGATATGGAGAGATGCTAAAGAGTTTTTGAAAGGCAGCCTTATATGCTCAAAAAGTATCGTCTAAGAACTTGGACAAAAATTAGTCTCATTTTATTCTATGCATGAAGTGTTTTTTTTCCATCCTATATTTGAACTTGGGTTTGTAATAGAACAGTAGATCATAGATTGAAAAAAATAACACAAGGAATGGTGGAAAAGTACTGCAATTGTATTTAGATGGAAATTACAGAGAAAGATAAAGTAAGAAAATCTGATAGTGACGTCCTATTGGTTGGTTATTTTTAAATATCCGAGATGCATCCCTAATATATTTTCGTAAATGCATTTTCGTAACCTAAACACAGCACTAGCAGAGGTACAAACTAAAAATTTGTATTCATAAAATAAAATAAGCATTACATAGATGATTTTAACATAAAATGCAACATTACACTTCAATGTTTAGGTGAATGCTTCAACACCTTCACAATATTTTCGACCGATCTTGAAATCGTCGCTTCTAACTTGAGTGAAACTTTTGCTTCAAAACGGAAATATGTATTCCACATAGCCCTTACGTATACATCCGTCTTGAGGTCAAAGTTGTTGAACTCAATTTTTCCTCCGCTGTCAATTGACGGTTAATGGTACTCGAACTTCACAACTCTTCTACTGTCTCTGTGAGATAGGAGATTATGGATTTCGTATTTAATATCTGCAAGAGAGGTGTAGTTGTTGAGTTTAAAGTTTTGCTCGGGTGTCACATTGAAGAATGAGACATTTACGACATACCAGATAATGTTTATTTTTGACATTTAAGACATTTTTAATTTGTGCGAAATAAAAACAATATCACCTTAATTTGTAGGAGTTGTAGACAGATGCGGACCATTCAAAATTTGGCATGTTGATTCTTGAGATATATCTCCGGTTCAACACCCTATAAGTATCTTGTTTCAAAGATGCATCTCCAAAACCTCATGAACAAGCAGAAAACAAAACCTTTGAAAACAAAACCTTTTTTTTTTTTGACAAATGGACAAATGTTATGGGAAAGATTAAAAAATGTATTAAAATATTAAGACACAATATGACAAATTGATTATATTACACTTCAATAATATTGAGACACAATTACATACACTTATTAATCCGGCTAAACAGTAAATTAAAACGAATCGAAATATCTGTCGCGGGATAAATTATGAGTGGTACCCCCTTTGACTTTTGCATGTACATTTGATTTTCTTTCAATGTTGTTCAATTTCTCGAACTCTTGCATTCTTTTCATGAAATGGTTCGGCCAAATCTCGACTTTTTTTTGTTGAATGAGTCATCCATTCTAGTGATGTAAGTGGTATATGGCATCACGGTTTCAAGTAAACTTGAATAAAATATCGTGATTTTAGTATTTCAAGTAAACCATAGCATTGGTGCATGGTGCGTCCGGAAATGCATCTCCAGAACTGAGGAGTATTTTAGTATTTTTGTGTGGTGTGCAAGTAACATATATGATGTATTAGGAAATTCTTGTATTTTTGATGGACAGGCCAAGTTGGCTTCTAGCTTCCCCATTAAAAATAATTTTAGTTAATTTTGAGAAAAATGCATTTAGCTAAGTCGTAATTGCATAAGTGTATTTTCAAATGAAAAAAAGAAAAGAAAAAGGTAAAGAGTGATGAAAATATGTTTTTTAAATAATGTGATCAAAGATATTGTTGTGAGATAAATAAAAAGATTGATAAATATTGGAGATAATATTCATTTACTCTTTATTTCGTGGATTCCATATATATATATATATATATATATATATATATATATATATATATATATATATATATATATATATATATATATATATATATATATATATATATATATATATATATATATATATATATATATATATATATATATATATATATATATATATATATATATATATATATATATATATATATATATATATATATATATATATATATATATATATATATATATATATATATATATATATATATATATATATATATATATATATATATATATATATATATATATATATATATATATATATATATATATATATATATATATATATATATATATATATATATATATATATATAATTTCATAGATTTTTAATCAGCCTGGAATTAAAACCAAGATTAGGTTGAAAAGTTCATCTCGCATAAAAGCTTTCATCATATTCAAGCTCATTCCATGTAAAAGCTTGGATGGTTCGAGATCAGCCTTGTATAAAATCTCATAGGTTATTGGTTATCTCATATAAAATCAAAGATTAAGGTTCGTGAGCTCACCCCGTGCAAAAGATTATAAAGTTCGTGGAAAGAAGACTAACCACTTCAATCTACCATTTGTGGAGAAAAAGACTAACCAATTTAATTCACCAAGATAAGACGTACATGCTAAATCTATCATCTTGTATTATTTGGTAGGAAGTCAGTCATCATTTCCTTGTATAAGGGGGTTTGTGAGTCTTTCCTACTAAAAACTCTCAATTATTATTGGAAACTCTCAAGATCATTTCCTGGGGATAGGAGTGTGTCTTTTTTTCACCAAACCTCTATACATCATAGACTTCATCATATTGTGGTTCATTTCCAAATGTACCTCTTCTTGGTATCCGAGGAGGAATTAACTGCAATCCTATTCTGGAAAGGCGTCAATTTGGGTTCCCTACGAAGGAAAAGCCTAGCAATATCCTGTTGTCTGGTTTCTTTTATCTTAATGAGGAGGCTAGGCCAAAGACTAAGGATAGAGTTTTACATGCTTGGGGGACAACTCATAAAAGGACTAAGAATGATTTGGGAAAGATTAACTATTTAGCTTTTGAGCCTTTCATCTAGTGGGTTTGATCTCGAGCTCGTGATCTCAAGATGCCATATCTCCTTGAGAAGCCTTCACAGCCTGTTGTTGCATCATCATCAACCATTCCTATTGAGCATATAGAGGAATACCAAGAAGCGTTGGTAAGGATGAAGCTTGAACAAGACATATGGGAAGGAAAATATCATGTTATCTATGCTGAATAGATGGACATGAAGAAGCAGTTAAAGAAGAAGGATGATTTGATTGAGCTGCTCGAGAGGCGTGTTGTAGAGAGGCGTGTGGTGTAAGAGAATTTATTTTTCTCTAGCGTGCATCCGATTCCCAGTACTCACGAGTATTCTGACATTCCTCTGACATCGGGTGCTTAGAAAGGGATCATCGATAAGCTAGTTTTGGAAAACACTGAATTAAAGAGGAAGAAGAGGATGCATGGAGTAGGACCTTTTTATTTGGGATTCTTGAGACCATTTTAGGCCTAGTTTTTTCTTCTTGTATTCTGAGCTTCTTGACTTGTACATTGAGGTTGTAACTTTTCTTATTATTAATGAATTGAAGTTTTTCCAAAAATGTTTGCAACTTTGCTTTTGAGTTCTTTGAAACCATTTGGTTTGCATTTGCATTGCATGAGCATGTTATTACATTTGCATTCGCATATCTCAGCCTTGGGTCTCATCTTCCTCTTCTTATATCTCTAGAAGGATACCTAGCTCACATTTTGGACAAATGGCGATGATGAACGAGCTTTTGAAAGGTCAGGAAGCCTTGAAGAAGGAGATTAGAATCCTCAAAGGTTAGATGAACTGGGTCTTGGAGAACTTAATGAAGAAAGAGGGGCACTCTTACCCTGTTGCACCCAGAGAAGTTGTCACTTCATCATCTCCTGTGGTTCTTCCAATTCAAGAACCTCCTCAGTATCAACGGTCAGATCATTGTTAACCGCATCAGCACACCAGACAAAGGCCAAGGAAGCCAGAAAGGCATTTCACTATGTTGCCAATGTCATACAGTCAGATATTGCCATATTTGATCAAGGGTGGATTGGTAGTGCCAAAGCAGATAGATCCAGTGATCCCTCCATACCCTCCAGGCTTTAACGCCAACACTCAATGTGACTACCATATTGGGGCACAGGGGCATTCAACTGAGGATTGTAAGGTGCTCAGGAGCAATTTTCAGATTTTGCTTGACTCCGAGATGATCTCATTCACTCCTTAAGGCATTCAAGTCAATAATCCTTCACCATCTCCTGTGTTTCTCCCATATCAAGGACACGCACTTGAGAAAACTTCGTGTTAACCAGCATTTGGTTTTGCGCCAAAATGTCATCCTCATCAGGTGGTTACCACAAGAGCTTCTCAGCGTCCATTGGTTGTTTCCCCTCAAGGTTCTCAAAGCCAGAACAAGAGCAAAAAGAAGAATCATGTCAAAAGGAATAAGGCTCTCTACAAGCTAAATCCCGTGCGGCTGAGAAAACTCTATCCAATATTGATTCAGAATTCATTAGTGACTCCACGAACTCTCAACCCTGTGTTAGGACCATGGCACAACGTGAACTTGACCTGTGAGTTTCACAAAGGGGATGAAGGGCACGACTTGGATACTTGTCTGGAATTAGGATCTTTTATGCAAGAGTTGATCTATGACAAAGATCTGATCCTTGAAAAGATCACCCAGAAGTTGAATGCAAATACCGTACTGGGACAATGGGGAATCTAGTTGAAGAGTGCAAGGGTTTCGAGCTGAGATTGCAAAGCTTGTTGGGACTGCTGAAACCTTAAGGTAAGCC